TTTTATTTGCAATTTCTCAGAGAAAACCTGCTCTCAGAAGATTACAAATGAAAGTTCTTTGTGTAGTTTGCATAAAATCAGATAGGCTTATAGGAACTGGCCTGTTTTCAGAACATGTGTCTTGTATCTCTGAGATCCAGACTGGGTTGTTAGATTGAGGTAGTTGAAGAATGTTTTAGGATACTCTAGCACTCTTTGCCAGCCTGGGTGGCAGGTTGCTCCTGAATCCAACATGCATTTATTCAATTTAATTGTCTGTAGACTGCAGTCTGATTACTGAGGTCACTAGCAGCAGTTACTTGACAGCACCTCATCAGACAGCATCTGACTAGTGTTTTCTCCTACTGTGATGAGAAAGTGCTTAATTGGATTTATCATTGAAGACAGAGATTGCTGTAACACAGCAAGATGTTGTGAAGGGCGCCCCTCTGTAGTGCAATTCACAGCTCCCCTCTTCATGCATTGGGTAATTATTAGAAAGTTCTAGTCATTTTGGAAGCTTGCCTAACACCAATTTAGGGATTATGGTTCTCTTTGTTAAAATGATAGAAATGCTCTTTAGTGATTTTTAGCTTTAATGTTTTAGTTCTTTTTCATGCATCTAAAACATTTCAGAAAACTGCCAACTGCAGTTGCTCAGTTGCAGTTTAATTACTATCATGCCATAGCCCTTAATGGATGAGGACTGCCATCTACTGTTCCTCCTGGGTACTGCTGGGAAGCATTGCAGAGGAAGATGTTCACGAAAGTCCCTGCCAATCAGCTCATTGGTTACCCAGCACCTATTATTATCATATGCTAGTAGGCATTTTAAGAATCAGTAAGGTTTATTTTATTTATTTATTTATTTATTTTTAAAATCTTTATTGTTGGATGTAAAATGTATTACAGATGTTCCACATTTTTCCCCCATTGACCCCCTCCTTCCCACTCTCACCCCCCTCCCACCTTTTCCCACACTATTGTCTGTGTCCCTTGGTTATGCATATAAGTTCTTTGGTTTATTTCTTCCCACCCCTCAACCCTTTCCCTTTGAGATTTGTCAGTCTAGCAATGAATTTGTACTTCTTAATCTCTTTACCTTTTTCACCCATTCCCCTAACCCCCCTCCCAACTGGCAACCAACAAAATGTTCTCTGTATCTATGAGAATGTTTCTGTTATACCTGTTCATTTTGTTTGTAGATTCCATTGTCGATAGGTATGTATTCATTGCCATTTTGTTTGTTCATATATTTTATCTTTTTCTTCAAAAAGACCCTTCATCATTTCATATAATAACGGTTTGGTGGTGATGAACTCCTTTAACTTTTTCTTGTCTGGGAAACACTTTATATGGCCATCGATTCTAAATGACAGCTTTGCAGGACAGAGTAATCTCGGTTGTAGGTTCTTGCTTTTCATCACTCTGAATATTTCTTGCCACTCCCTTCTGGCCTGCAAAGTTTCTTTTGAGAAATCAGCTTGACAGCCTTATGGGAACTCCCTTGTAGGTAACTAGCTGCCTTTCTCTTGCTGCTTTTAAGATTCTCTTTGTCTTGAACCTTTGGCATTTTGATGATGATGTGTCTTGGTGTGGGCCTCTTGGGGTTCATCTTGTTTGGGACTCTCTGTGCTTCCTGGAATTGTATGTCTGTTTCCTTCAAGTTAGGAAAGTTTTCTGCCATTTTTGTTTCAAACAGGTGTTCAATTTCTTGTTGTCTCTCTTCTCCTTCTGGCACCCCCAAGATGCGAATGTTGGCACGCTTGAAGTTGTCCCAGAGGCTCCTTACACTATCCTCATTTTTTTTGGATTCTTTTTTCTTTTTGCTGTTCTGATTGGGCGTTTTTTGCTTCCTTATATTCCAAATCGATGGTTTGCTTCTTGGATTTACGTACTCTACTATTGAATCTGTGTAAATTATTCTTTATTTCAGTTAATGCCTCCTTCATTTCTGACTGCTTCTTTTTTATGCTCTTGAGGCCCTCACTAAGTTCGCTGAGGTTCTCACTAAGTTCATTGAGCATCCTTATAAGCAGTGTTTTGAAATCAACATCATTAGGTTGCTTATCTCCATTTCGCTTAGTTGTTTTCCTGGAGTTTTTTTCTGTTCTTTGGGACCTGTTTGTCTCTTCATTTTGGCTGCCTCCCTGTGTTTGTTTCTATGTATTACTTAAAGAGAGGTATGGGGCTAGCTGAGACCAGATGCTGCTTGTTTGAAAGAATTTGGGAAAACCTGAAGCAGGATCCAAGACAGGCCAATCCTATGGTTAAGCAAGTGGCAACAGCTTGGGTGGGCCTGAAAGTTGGTGGGGCGGGACTCAGGGAGTCACCAGGGTGGGGCTACCAGTGTGACCCAGGTTGCTGGAGTCCCAGATATGGCGGCTGTTTGCAGCCCCAGGGAAGGGCTCACCAAAGGAACAAAAGCCTCTTACAGCACGTTTGTCCTGGAGAAAGCCCCCTCTCCAGCCCCTGCTCCGGTGCCAAACAGCTCAGTTCTTCCCTGTATGTCTCTGGTGCCCCTCGAGCTGCCTCCCCTCCAAGCTTAGAGGGAGTGAGTCCAATAAGTCCGTGGGTGGGCCCTTTAAGGAGCTGCCTGGGGCTCCAGCCACTTTAGCTTTTCTGAGCCTCAGTTCCCGCTGTTTTTCCAGCCAGAGGTTATGGGGACTTCTCTTTCTGGCACTGGAACCCTGAGCGGGGTGCCTGGTGTTAAACGGAGACCCCTCAGTTCTCAGAGAGGACCTTCCCAGCTGAGGTATCCTCCTGATTTTTATCTGCCACACATGGGTGTGGGACCAGGCCGTTGCACCTCCGCCCCTTTTAGCAGTCTGGATGTGGCTGCTGCTTTAATTCCGTAGTTGTAGGACTTCCATTCAGCTTGATTTCAGGCGGTTTTGAATGATGGTTGTTCTGTAGTTTAGTTGTAACTTTGATGTGATTGTGGGATGACGCGATACCACATTTACCCATGCCGCCATCTTGACCGGAAGTCCAGGCTGGGTTTTAATAGAATCTTAAAGTAGACTATGAATATTATTTCTGGTCTTACTTCTTAAAAAAGTATCTATGAGAGTATGGCTTATTGAGGTTTGTGCTGTTCCTTTCTTTCTGAGAGCTTAAAGAAGGGTAACTGGCTCATTGAGCTATTTGCCTCTAATAAGAGCAGTTTGTGACTCAGGAAATCTCAGGAGATTTTGTCAAGTAGTTCACTGTGGGCCAGGTAAGGGTTTCAGTCCCAAAGGTGGAATCTAGTTTTGAAATTAATCTCCAAGCCAGCCAGTTGTTGAGGTGGGCCCTCAAAAATCAATGAGGAAACACATTTTTTGCTTCAGCATCTATTCAGGTACAGTATAAAAAGGAGAGAATAATGCTTCATTATTGATTAGCTGGATTAGTGTAGTATTTGTAGATTATTTTTTACCTGACTTTCAAAAAAATAAATTTAAAGGTACAGACATTTGCTTTATGAATATTGATTTGTTTTCTCTAAGAATATATATTTATTATTTTGTTGGTAACTCTACAAAGATCTCTAAAATGGTACAGTAATTGAGAAAAGCCTAGATAGCATTTGTTGCTATATAAGATTTCTGCCCTGAGAGGATTTGAAGCTAATCCATTTACCTATAGTCAGGCTATGAATTAAGGCATTTAAAATCCATGACCTCACGTTTCGTATGAGCACAGAGCATCTATCTGAATGGGGCCTCTGGGACGATACAGTTGTTGTGTTTTGTTCCTTGCACAGGCACCAGAGCAATGGAGCTGTCATTGCCCGCTGTGGACAACCAGAGGTCAGCTGGTGGGGCTGGCGAAATGCTGATGATGAGCACCTGGTGCAGTCAGTAGCCAAAGCTTGTGCTTCCGACTCCAGATCAAGTGGCAGCAAGCTGTCAACTAGAAACAGTTCTCGAGACTTTCCCAATGCAGGAGACCTTTCTGATGTAGAGTTTGGTAAGGTGCTCCCTGGATCCCTAGCTGCAGTTTTTATATTATATTGAGAACCTTTCTTAAAATGGCCCTTTAATAGTAAAGAGAGAACAAAGCTTCAATTGAGGGGATTGTTTGAGCAGTCATAGATCTTGGCAGTGAACTAGAAGACCCCTTGTTTCAGACTTGGTTTAAGAAGACTAGAGTGTTTTTTGTCTTTCTTGCCGTAGTGACAAGAATGGAGTATATATGTGATAGGGGACCTACAGTATCTCTAGACCATGGGAGAAAATTTCACCAGGCTTCATTAAAGGACCACCATTGTAGAAATGAGGTATAGGAGATTGTAGGCAAAATAGAAACAAAGAGAAAAGTCTAGGTATCAAGAGGTCTGGTTAGGGATTTCACTTAATTTTTTTTTGGTACTATAATATGTGTCCGCGGTTCTTATTTTGCACAATTCTAGAAGAGACAGGTTCATGTATTTTTTTCTCCCTGATGTTCTTAGATTCTTCTCTGTCAAATGCTTCAGGAGCAGAGGGTTTAACCATCCAACCTCAGAAGCTTTTGATCTTGGATGCACGTTCCTATGCCGCAGCTGTTGCGAACCGAGCCAAAGGAGGAGGCTGTGAATGCCCAGGTGAGGTGTACAATGCTTAGTCGCCCAACATTCTTTCCTTGTGAGTCCAGCCTGTGCCCAACTGGGTCTTAGTTCTTAATAAATGAATGGCAAGCTATGTTCCTCAACCTATCTTGAGAGAGCCAGAGTATTTTGGATTCTTAACACTATTCTCTTGTCAGGGGTAAAATGGAGGCGGTGCAGTGAAACGAAATAATCCTCCTTTCCTGTGCCAATCTTTAGGTGATAAGGAAAGTCAGTTCTCTCCCATAATAAGGTCTGTTCATACTTGGAAGCTGCTGCTGTAGTGGCTCAATTTCTTAGCCTTCTAAGAGCTTTTTGTTGCCTTTGACAAGTGGGTATGTTCATCACTGGTCTCATGGCTTCTACTTAGAAAACCTGTCATGGAAATTGAAGCAGTAAATACAAAACTCTAGCAAAGCTCCTGTCTCCTAACTTATGACATGCCTACCGTTTGAATGCTGGTTTTCTCCAAAGGAGGACCCCTTTGGTGCCAGTCGTGTGCCGATGGAACAGGTAGAGGACACCAAGCTCCTTATTCAGATGTGATCTAGGCTGGAAATTAAAAGCAGTGGTACCAAGGTGAAATTTGAGTGCATGAAATGCATTGTTCTGCCAGGTTTTTTTTAAAAGATTCCAGAGCTACACATTAGCTGAGACTAAAGAAGTAAACTGGGGTGAGATGGAAATATATAGATCTTTTATTATCTTTTTTTTTTTTTTTTTTTAAGTAACAGCTTCTATTTTGTCAGTATTTGCACAAATCTAACCTTTGTTTTTGCAAAAACAGGTAAAATTCAAGCACTGTATTTTTCCTCATAATAAAGGACTGAGCTAATATAGGCAACAAACCACCGCAGTTTCATTAGCAGCTGCAATGGGTTTGTTTATAGCCATTTTGCTGCTTTTAAATTTGGCCATGTGGGCTTTACATTTAATGTATTTGGTAGGTGGGGGGTGTTTTACCTAAGTTTGGGTGCTTTTAAAGATTCACAATAAAATGATAGGTTTTCCCTAAAAAAATAAACAAATAAATAAATAAGTTTAACGTGTTTGTGTTCTGCTTATTGTTTTTCTCTCCAGAATATTACCCAAACTGTGAAGTTGTGTTTATGGGGATGGCAAATATTCATTCAATTCGGAGGAGTTTTCAGTCTCTGCGTTTGCTGTGCACACAGATGCCAGATCCGGGAAAGTAAGACCTTGGCCTTGGCTTTAATTTTACATTGCCTTTTTAAAAAAAATGAGTTCAGAGGTTCCTTCTATTTCTTGGTAAACTTCAGTTTTACTGTCAATCTCTGTGGGTATTTTTTCTGTGTTAGGAGCATGGCAACATAAACGAGGAGCTTGGATTAAAATGCAGCCCTTTGAAAGATTTAAAAATGTGCAGCACATAACAAACCTCAGCCCTCAGAATGGAAACATTGCTTTCTTTTTCCTGGAACCTCTTCCTTCTCTTCTACACTGTGTTTGGCCAAAAGTAATTTAATTCTTTGGTTTCTGACATCCTATAGTGACACTTATCTGCTATGAACTAGGATGTTTTACCAGTCAAAATTTATTCATCATGTTCTAAAAAGGGTTAAACTTTTAAAATTATTAATTTTTTATTCCTCACCCGAGGATACATTTCTATTTATCATCAGACAGTATGGGAGGGAGGGATGGAGAGAGAGAAGGAACATTGGCATGGTAGAGCCACATCATCTGGTTGCCTCCTGCACGACCAGACCAGGGCTGGGGACGAACTGCAACCTAGGTACGTGTCCTTGACCAGAATCGAACCCATGACTCATTGGTCCATTGGCTGATGCTCTAACTGCTGAGCCAAACCATCTAGGGCTTATTTATTTTTTAACTTATCTTTATTATTGAATATATTACAGATGTCCTCCCACCCCCCTCTTGCCTTCCCCACACTATTGTCTTTGTCCATTGGTTATGCATATATGCATAGAAGTTCTTTGGTTTATCTCATCCTGCTCTACCTTCCCCCATCCCTTTGAAGTTCATCAGTCTAACAACCAATTTGTACTTCTTAATTCCTTCATCTTTTTCACCCATCCCCCAAACCCCTCCCATCTGGCAAGCAACAAAAAGTTCTCTGTATCTATCCGTCTGTTCTGTTATGCTTGTTCATTTTGTTTGTAGATTCAATTGTTGATAGATATGTATTAATTGCCATTTTATTGTTCATATTTTTGTTCTTCAAGAAAACCCTTCAACATTTCATATAATACTGGTTTGGTGATGATGAACTCCTTTAGCTTTTTCTTGTCTGAGAAACTTTACATGTCCATCAATTATAAGTGATGGCTTTGCAGGATAGAGTTAATCTTGGTTGTAGGTCGTTGCTTTTCATCACCTTGAATATCTCTCGCCATTCTTTTCTGGCCTGCAAAGTTTCTTTTGAGAAATCAGTTGGCAGTCTTATGGGAGCTCCTTCGTAGGTAATGAACTGCTTTTTTCTTGCTGCTTTTAAGATTCTCTTTGTCTTGAACCTTTGGCATTTTGATGATGATGTGTCTTGGTGTGGACCTCTTTGGGTTCCTCTTGTTTGGGACTCTGTGCTTCCTGGACTTGTATGTCTGTTTCCTTCACCAAGTTAGGGAAGTTTTCTGTTACTATATTTTCAAATAGGTTTTCGATTTCTTGTTCTCTCTTCTCCTTCTGGCATCCCCAAGATGTGAATGCTGGCACGCTTGAAGTTGTCCCAGAGGCTCCTTACACTATCCTCATTTTTTTGGATTCTTTTTTTCTTTTTGCTGTTCTAAATGGGTGTTTTTTGCTTCCTTATATTCCAAATCGATGGTTTGCTTTTTGGCTTTACCTACTCTACTATTGAGTCCCTGTAAATTATTTTTTATTTCAGTTAGTGCATCCTTCATTTCTGACTGGTCCTTTTTTATGTTGTTGATGTTCTCACTATGTTCCTTGGAGTTCTCCTTGAGTTTCTTGAAGTTCTCACTAAGTTCCTTGAGAATCTTTATAACCAGTGTTTTGAACAGTGCATCTTATTGCTTATCTCCATTTTGTTTAGTTCTTTTGCTGGAGTTTTGTTCTTTTTTTTCATTTGGGACATGTTTTTTTGTCTTCTCATTTTGGATGCTTCCCTGTGATGGTTTCTGTGTATTAGGTAGAGTTGCTATGTCTCCTAGGCTTCGTAGAGTGGCCTATTGTTGTAGGTGTCCTGTAGGATTCAGTGGCACAGCCTCCCTGATCACCCTCAAAGGTACATCCCTTGTATGGATTGTACACCCTTGAGTCTTGATTGCTGCTAGCACGTCAGTGGGAGGGATTTACTCAGGCTGATCAGCCGCAAGGACTAACTATGTCCATTGACCACTGGCCTCTGGCTACCTTGGAGAATCAGCTGTGCAGGGGCTCACCACACAGAGGAAGACTTACTTCAGCAGGGTTCTGGTACCCACTGAGTCCACTAATTGAGTGTATCACTTGTGGAGGTGGTTGGGTGGTAGTGCTTCAATGGGGTCTGAAGCTGTCCACTGGGTGTGCTGGCTCTGGGGCAAGGTCAGCCACTGCCTGTGTTCTATCCAGGGCCACCCAGCATAAGCTGCAAAGTGATCTGCAGATGGCTGCTTCTTGTGCTGGGCTTGGAGGTGCCCAGGCAAAGCCAAGTTGTGAATCAAGGCTGGCTGCTTCTAGTGCCAGGCCTGGGGCCACTTAATGAAAGGTATGAGGCTGGCTGAGACCAGACACTGCTTGTTTGAGAGATTTTAGGAAAATCTGTAGCAGGATCCCAAACAGGCCAATCCTATGGTAAAGCCATTGGAAACAGCTTGGGTGGGCCTGAAAGTTGGGTGGGAGGGCCTCAGGGAATCACCAGGGCGGGGCAAACTGTGTGAACCAGGTTGGAGTCCCAGATATGGCGCCAGCTGGCCCTGTAGGGAAGGGCTCACCATAGGAACAAAGGCCTCCACCAGCATATCTGTTTGGGAGAAAGCTGCCCCTTCAGCTCTCACCCCGATGCCGGACAACTCAGTTCTTCACTGTATGTCTCTGGTCCCTTTCAAGTTGCTACCCCCACACTGGAGCCTGGAGGGAGTGAGTCTAAGTGTGAGGGCCCTCTAAGAGGGATTGTTTGGAGCTCCAGCAGCCTCAGCCTTCCTCAGCCTCAGTTCCCACTGGTTTTTATAGCCAGAAGTGATGGGGACTTGTCTTTCTGGCACTAGAACCCTGAGCTGGGGGCCTGGTGTGGGACAGGGACCCCTTGCTCCTCAGAGAGGACCTTCACAGCTGAGGTATCCTCCTGATTTTTATCTGCCACATGTGGGTGTGGGACCAGCCCATCTGTACCTCCTCCCCTCCTACCGGACTCAATATTGCTTCTTCTTTAATTCTGTAGTTGTAGGACTTCCATTCAGCTCGATTCCAGGCAGGTCTGAATGATGGTTGTTCTGTAGTTTAGTTGTAATTTTGATGTGGTTGTGGGAGGAGGCGAGTACCATGTTTACCTACGCCGCCATCTTGACCCGAAGTCCCGGGTTAAACTCTTTTTAAACTTACCTTTAGGTCAGTTCCTTTTACATATGCTTCTGATTTCTGAATAACCCTCTCTCGTTTACTAAGAACATTACCATGATTTTTATTGCTTGTTAAAAATGAATGGCTAGCATTTGCAGTGGGGAAGGTAAAATAACACCCCTTCCTCCCAAGGGAACTGTTTGAATACAAGATAAATTAGGAGGACTGCTCTGTAAAATAGATATGGACATGAATATTTAAATGCCCCTGCTTTACATTTTAGGAAGCCAGAAATTGTGCCAAAGAAGATCTAATTTCTCTTTTCTGGTATTTGTGCTGGAGCCCATAGCTGTTTCCTTGGGTTCTAGTCAGTAGATCTCATGATCACATCAAGTTTTGCAGCATTCTTTATTTGGTTTATTAAATCAAATAACTACCTGAAGCACTTGTGCTAACTCCTGGTAGCAAATGATTAAATTCATCACAGTTGCAGTCAGCCCAGAGGGTGAAGCACTTGTCCTTGGGGAAAAGCCTGACTGAAGTAATGAGCTTGCTGTTCTGCTTTGAGGGTTAGCATCTTGCACTTGCTGTACATTTACAGAGCCCAGCTAGTAGCACTCTCTCCTTAAAGGTGGGATGTGGGCCCAGCCGGTGTGGCTCAGTGGATTGAGTGTCATCCCATGGACTGAGAGGTTCGGGTTAGATTCCTGGTCAGGGCACATGCCCGGGTTGTGGGCCTGATCCCCAGTGGGGGACATGCAGGAGGCGGCCATTTGATGTTCTCTCTCATCAATGTTTCTGTCCCTCTCTCTCCCTCTCAGTTCCTTTCTCTCTCAAATTAGTAAAAGGGGAAAAATACTGAACACTCAAAAATAAATAAAAATAAAAAATTAATGAAAACATATTTTAAAGGTGGGGCGTGGAAATGAGGACTCTGAAGATCTGCCAGTAATTGTCTGTATGACTTTGGTTAAGTGGCTCAATCTGTGGAAATCGGTTTTCCTGTCTATAAAATGAAAGGGATAGAATCAACACTCCCTGATCTCTAATCTTCCATATATAAAAATTTT